TGAAAATCTTAGGATGTCCCATTCTTTGAAAAAAAAAAACTGCAAAACACCCCTTCATTCCAGTGTTATTTACAAGGTGGAAGAAATTACCCTTACTAAGGAAAAACCAAAAAGAATATGCTTATTCTTAGCAGTATGCATTCAAATGTCAATGAGGAAGCAAAAAAGAAAACACCTGATATAATCAGCTTCTACAATGACACCAAATGTGGTGTAAATGTTATAGATCAAATGATTCACAAGTTCAGTACAGGTATGGACCAGTGCATTATCATGCACTGGTCCATACATGTATTCTATAACATTCTAGATCTGGCTATGATCAATGCACATAGAATGTACAAGTTGATAACTGGATCTAAGATCTCTTGACAGTCTTTCATGATAGTTGTTGAAGAGTAAGTTGTGTTGTACAGGAATTTGCAATTTCAGCATCTAGTAACTCTTTCAATCCTGAGATATGGTAGTGATGCAGCTACATCAAAAGATGCCACCTAAAACACTTCCAAAATTGGACTTTGCAAGGAAAACAAGACAAAAGTAACTTGCTTTGCATGAAATGTCCATACATGGCACATTTCTAAGTACAAAATAGATCTGTAAAATATGTCAGGATTGTCTCCCTCAGAATGTGTGAAAAAATATTTACAGTAGAGCATCTGTTATCCGAATACTGATCAACTGAAAGTGTTCCAATCGGCAAATTCAAATTTCTGCTAGTGCTGTGGTGCTGCAGCACTCTCCCCCCTGCCAACCTAAACTGTAGGCCTACTTTAACCACTCAGCAGTGACCGATGGATATATCCGTCAAGTGCGATCATGTGGCACTGGTGACCGACGGCTATATCCGCAAAATTTTGCCAAAAACTACCGCAAAAAAAAATTCACATAAAAAAAAGGAATTATGTAACAATAAAAAAAGATTTTTCTTTACTAGACATAACTGTTTACAAAATATTTTTCCGAAATGGTAATGAGAAAAAACATGTGGAAAAATACTTAAAAAATTTCCCACTTTATTCTCCATTATATAGGGATAGCACCATACCTGATTAACCCACTGCTGAAAGGTTAAACCTATATTTACATATATATAAAAATTATATTAGCTTCACTGACTCACAGACCAACATGTAACATTTGAATGACAAAACATTTCTTATAGAAAGATAAAATACAGATGACTTGTTGGAAGAGATATTATGTTGTCAGAAAACTATGAATTCTATACAAAGTATCACATTTTACAAAGTATAGCATTAACAATTTCATAGTATGTCAGTGTGTATGAATTATTGACTTCAAGCATCATTCAAGCATATTTTATTATTATTAATTGGCTCCAATATACAAATATACAGCAGAATTAATTTTGCATTGAATGTTTTTTGGTCTACAAAGCAGACCAAAAACATGCTACCTGCCGCTATACTAGTGTGGTATTATTTATTTGTTTCCTGTTAAAACAGCATTGTATCATTCTTAATTAGCTTGGCATTATTTTAAATTACAGTATTTTTTCTTTTATTACTTACTACTGACTATTTTTAATAAAATTATTTTATATTTAGTTATTTAATCTATATAAATATATGTAAAGTTAATACTGTTTACAAAAAAATGCAATATAATTAAAATAAAATGCATAAAATTCACAAAATAATGTGAAATGCAAAATTTCCAAGAGGGGCTTGTCCTTAGTATTAATGATTTAGATAAGCACTTGATATTTATAAACTAAATTTAATAGTAATTACAGTCAAATTAAACTGAGCCATATAATAATTCAAGAATAATAAGACGAATAAATTTATTATTGGTTAAATTTGACACATCATATCCAAAAAGATATCATCATCATCAGGGGTGGCCAACAAGTTGATCGCGAAGCCAATTTTGGTCGATCGCTCATGATGTTATTGACTTAGTGTGTTACACTTGTAACTGAATGCAACGCACAAATACAACTGTAGTGATATCAGACCTCCACGTCTTCCCTCAGATGCGGTTTTGTTGGTCCATGTGCAATCCATTTGCGTACAGTTGTAAAAGGGAAATAAGAAATGTAGACAAAGGGTCATAAAACCGAAAAAAAGAAAGGAGGGAAGAGGGACAGAGAGAGTAGGTCAGGACACAGTAGAGAGAAAAAGGGTGAAGTGGTGGTCTCTGAAAGTGACAACATTGATTTTCAATTTTTCTTCTGTTTAAAATGTAAGTACCTTTTCTTCATGTTTTAAATTAAATTGTAGTTTTTCTTACCTATCTAAACATAGTATGTATTTCACACCTCCCCCTCACCACTTAGACTAATCCTACGACAAGTCAATCGCGACACATTTTTAAGATAAAAAGTAAATCTTATGTACACAAAAGTTGGCCACCCCTGATCATCATCATCTCTGCATTTCACATTGCTTAAAATTTTTTTCATTACAACAGAATCTTTCCTTTCTAATCTACATCATATATCTATTATTGACAAGACTATGTCTTGTTAATAAAATCGTACTGCCTGTTGGATAACAGCTTAGAGGTATGAAGGAGTACATGTCAGGAGTTGCAATTTGGCACAGAGTATTAGGTGCCCAAATCATGAGTGCATAAAAAAAAACCAGACTTGTAGGTACTTGGGACCGAGAACTGAGTCAAAATAAAATTCAAAATAGCGACACATTCCACAAACAGACAGTAGTACAAGATTTGCGCATGCATTGCTCGTTGGAAATGTGAATGTTGCAAAATAAAATTTTGACAAATGTGTGCATTGGGAAGTTCGAAATGAGAAATCAAATTTTGACAAATGAATCTTTGAAAAAAACCCATTTACTTGTCCCGTGTTATTCCTGACATATCTCTGGTCGCGACAAGCTGATCTTGACCAGTTGACCCGAGTTATCTCATTTCAGCATCGGAACCTTTTTTCAAAGTAGATGGCACTAGTCGTTATAATTTTATATTAAAACTAACTTTTGAAATATAATTTGTTTTTTCTATACATATATATAGTGTTTGTACAAAATAAAAAAATAATTTCAGACGATAGCCAGGATTATTTTTGTTAGGCATCGACAAAAATTCAACCTGGGGTGACATGCAATGTTGAGAAATTTAAAAATTGGATAGGTTAATTTCACCAAAAATGCATCATGGACGACCTCGTGGTTGTGGCCGGTGAAGTTTGAAAGATTGTGCTCAAAACCAGTGATACTAAAGAAGATTGGAGAGTGAGAACGAGACCCACCTTGAGCCTCAAAGTGATTCCACTTAGTAGTGAGTCTCCAAGACATAGTCTTGTCCCAAATACAGCCTTGCTGTTTTACTTGTTTTTTTTATCTTCAAATATGTCCTATTTGAAGAAAAAATATTCACTTATTGATAAAAAAAAATTACACACCCAGATAAATTGTCTGATTACTGAAAAACTCAGCATATGGCTATGTCTAAAACAGATATGCAAGTGATTACAGCTGTGGTCCAATTACATACCATGTAATGTCATCAGAATGCCTGAAATTCACTATTCCAGTATCTTATGAAAAGGCTCTCAGAAGCTAACTATTTTAAGAACTTTCAATATACCTGTTGATTAGAGGTTTTTGAATGTCAGGCATGCCTGTATGATGCAGTCAAATGTATTATTTGCAGCTGATAAAATTTAAGAAAAGCTACATTATTGGGCTGAGAGAAGCAGGATGGCTGTTTCACCAATCTGCCTGCCATCTGGGTTGTTCTGACCTTACTGTGAAGTGATGTTAACAGCAGTAAATATGTGAAGGCACATATACACAGTGGCCAGGCTCTGGATGCCTCAAACTGACCACAGGAAAAATGATTGTCTGATTGTGATACAAGCATGAACAGCTGGAAAATCTTTGTCCCTCATCCAGAGGTAGATGAAAACCTCTCTACAGAATCTTGTCTCTTCCTAAAATCATTGACAAGCAACTTTTCAAGCACAACGATCATTATGCATTTTGCTAAGCACCCCAACATTGTTGGCTTTGTCTGTAGTAGTACAATGATAGAGAAGCATGGACTACTACAGACTATCAGATAGCATATCTTTAGTCAAGAATCCAGATTCTGTTTATAAATAGGCAACCACCATGTTAGTATGAAGGACCACCGAAAACAACTTCAATATTGTATACCATTCAACAGTATAGGTGGGAACCTTTACTGTTAAATGATATATAGCCCCTATTACTACTGTGCCAATCTGGGGAGTCATCTCATGTGACAGTAGTAACAATACTGTACATTTCCCTAGTAGTAGTGCAAGGGACACTGACAGAACAATGATACATTCAGAATATCTTGCACCCTCATATGTTGTTTTTCATGGTAGGATTGCAAACAGCCATTTTCCAGCAATATAATATGCAGCCACACAGCCAAGATTTCCCAGGAATGTTTTCATCATGTTTCCTCACTTCCTTGGTTTTCTCAAACTTTGTGCTTGTTGCCCATCAGGCATTTGTGAGACCAGATGGGACACCAGCTTCAACTATCAAAGAGTGAGAGAGATCTGTAGAAGCAATTGCAACATCTATGGCCAAATCTGTTGCCAAGATAGCATATAATGCCAGTATGCTTTCATGTCCAACCGTATCATTACTTGTATCCAGGCAAGAGGAAGTCCTATAATATACTAAAGGTTCTTTTAATTAAATTGTAATGTTGTTCAACTGCCTCTTTGCTATGATATTATAATCAATACTATTGTCATTATTTTCATACTAATAAAGTTTTATTTGATTCCAATGCCTTCTTGGTGCATAATTTTTTCTGTTTATGAGTATATATTTATAGTAGGGTGAATACTAGTTGGCGTAAATTTATATTATAAGTTTAATTAAGTCGGAGAGGGGGTCGGAAATCGCTATAAAAATTTTAATTTTTAAATATTTTTAAAAAATTAAAATTTTTATTGTGATTTCTGACCCCCCGACTTAATTAAATTTATTTATAATAAAATCTATTAATTAAAAAAATTAAAAAACTATTGGAGGTCGTTTTTGATATCAGAAAGTAGCTTTAAATAACTTTACCGAAGTAAAATCCGTGCACTACAACTTTAGAACGATTAATTAAATTTGATTAAAAAATCCCATTAAAAAACAATTAAGCGTTAATCACGTGTCATTAAAGGCTGATTAAAATCGCGATAAAATTTTTTCGCGCGGGTAAAAATTTTTAAAAAATTTGGAGACCTGAAAAACATTCTAAAAATTCAAAAAAAAAATTTCAAAAGTGGCCTTAATGACTGAGTTTTTCGTAACGCTATGTAACTTGCCCAAGATATCTCAGGCTTGGGGCTTAAGGAGTTTTAATTAAAATATTTTGGCATCTAAAATTATATAACTTAATTTTCATTTAAAAAACATTTGAGAAAGGCCTTGCAAATAAAAGTATTATTCAAAGTATTCTCTATATATATAATCTGTTATAATACACATTACTAGATTATTATATGGTTATTTTATTTAAATTTGATACTACCTTTGGTTTATCTTCTCCTTCACCTGATTCTTCATCTTCCTCTAATGGAATATGAAGCTCTGGTTCTTTTAATAATCCATAATAAACCTTTGCTTTATTGGCTAATTAAAATTAAGAAATGTTTAGAATTAATCATTGTAAAAATAAAAACTGAATTGTTACAAGATATTCTATCAATAAATTAAATTTAATTCCTAGTAAATATAAATTCCATGTCAATAATTCAGATAGTTTGTCTTTTTTTTAAGAATATTTGCTGCATATCTAAGAATATAAATAATCCCAATTTTAGTAAGTCTATCATAAAATAATTAAGCCTTTTGACTTTGTAATACTAATTATTTCTAAAAATAAAAATATTCTGTGATATTTTACTTATGAATATTTCAGTTGTAAATTAATACATTAACACTGAATTTCTAAAAATATAAAATAAAACTTAATTTTTTCATAATTTATCTATATATATAAAAATGAACGTATAGCTGTCTGTCTGTATGTCCTTCATGCATTACCACATCGTTTATCCGATTGCCATGAAACTTTGGGAAGTTTTTTAATACACTTCCGCGAAGGTTTCTGGCATAGTACATTTATCCTACAATAGATGGCGCAAGTGTATATGAGCATTTCATCATGAGTTCGATCAATTTCAAATTGTGAAGACCATTTCCCCCTCCAAAAAATATCTCTATATATGCATTTGTGAACTGTTATTTACGATATTTGTAATAATTTTTGTTTAATCACTTTATTTCAACTATTTTTTGCTAATTATGTATTCGCTCGAACTTTGTTAAAACCTTAACTGTATCCCGAACAAAAACCGAAGTTGTAGGAGGAAATTTGCCTATTTTGCCAATCTAGGAATCCCCTCTTTTCCAAATTTTAATATCAACTCAAAACAATTTAAAAAGACAAAGTACAATAAAATGGTTTATTATCCAACTATCAGAAATTTCACAACATGCCAAGGACAAGAGGAAGGAGCAATTAAATAATTAAAATTGTAAAGGATTAAAAAAAAATATATAAAAATGGGGAATATTGTACTTCTGACAATCGTTGCAAGTGTGTGGGCTAGATTTGGAGAATCCATGCTTCTCACATGGACAATTGTATGTGGCCAGCTCACGCATCGGAAAACCTTCTGATTTATTCGTGTATGCACAAGACAGAAAAACAAAATAAATAAATAGAATTTAAATGACACTTTGAAATGTTTTCCCGATGAAAATGAATAATAATAATAAGTTTCAATAAAAATGATAAAATGTAAATTAAATTTTATTATAATGAGTTTGCTTGAATTTCGTTTCTTCTGAGATTGCAGCAATGTGCAATGGGTAAGCTAGTATTTTATATTTATACAATTTTTTAAATCAAATGCTTTAAATGATTTTATTGAAAACTTCAGATAATATTAGTAAAAACTAAAAGATTCATAATGAATGATTAATTGCATTAGAATACAGTAAATTCCCTGACAACTTGGATTTTGCATAACAGTGGCAAATTTTTTCAAAAAATTATATAGCAATTTAAAATTTCTTCACAATAGAAAAATTATAATTAATAACTGTTTTCAATATCTAAAAGTCTTTGCAATACCATACATCATATTACTATAGTTGATAAGTTACTAAAAACTCTACATTACTGTGTGTTGTACTTTTGTGAAATTTTTTGAGCTCATTTCCTGTAATAATGAATTCAGCAGTATAACCTACTAAAGCTCAGTAAAGTTTCTGTAAAGAATTGATTGTAATAAATTACTGTATATCCACCCTCTTCTTTTCCACTATGTTGGAGAAAACACCCTGCTAATTTGGATTTTCATAAACTTGGACAACCTTCACTATCTATAATAGTTCAAGTTAGTGTGTGTTTATTGTATCTTCAAAAACAATTATGAATATTTTCTATTTTTATAAATATTTTTTAATCAAAAGAGGCATGCAAACAGTTAAAAATAATACATTAATAGTAATCACTTAAAAATCTGTATAAAAATATCTTTTTTATATCAATAATTAAAGTTCAAATAAACTTACCTTGTCTTGCAGCTTCTCCCAATACTGCTCCAGCAGTGCTGTCAACTTGAACTTTAGCTCTTGTTATTCCTTCATATACTATTAAAATAAATAAAAAATATTCATTACTTATAATTAGATTACATTATCAAAATAAATCAAAGAATACATTACTGATGAATAATAAGGCAGAGATCAAGTATACATCAAATGAAACAAATAACTGTTATAATTTGTAAAATTTTACTATTAATTAGAATATACAATCTAATTAAATGCAGCAAAAAATAGCCCAATTAATTACGATGATCATTTGGTTTAGTATTAACACATAGGGCTTTGGGTTGTACATCATTGTACAGTAATACCCCGAACTTCGCGGTAGGTGGGACTGAGCGATAACTGTGTAAGTCGAATTTGCATAAGTTGGGGTATAATTTCGCAATTTGTGTAAAATCCAAGTCAGTTTTATATAAGCTATTAAATGTTCTCGTTAATCTTATCTTGTCTTTTGATTCGTTCACAGTTACAAGAAATCACCACATAGAGTATCTCAAGTCTCTGTAGATATAACAAACACAGAAATAAATAACACAAAATAAATTGTAGCTATGCGTCGATTCCGCGCGACACGTCCAAACATGTAAGCTGAACAATAGTGTGGGGGGAGTGAGTAATTGAGAATTGCATGGCGCTCAAACAAAAGACAAATCAACAAGATTAGAAAATCGCGTAACTCCAGGTTCACGTAAGTTGGGGTAGCATAAGTCGAGGTATTACTGTATACTCCTGTCATGTTTGCCTCATTATAATATTCTTGATGTCAAACATTTTGAATGTTGAGACCATTCTTTTCTAATTTATAAACAATTTTTCCAGCTAAATCAATACTAATTTTTCTTTTGTTTCTGAAAAATTGATAAAGCTTTCTTCAATGTTTATGTATTTGTTTTTAATGTGTGTGTATCTAATATCAAGAACTCTACGCCTATACTTTTCCAGCATATTTCCATACAGAGTTATTGATATTTTTCCAGTTTTTCTACAAGTGTGTTTCTGAAATATGTATCTAATAATTTTACACATTTGTTCACATCATGTGTACAATAAAAAATTAAAAAAGAAGTATTTTTTGTGTTTGATTTTAGAATGAATTTCAAATTGAACGTGATTTCCTAAGAGTATAATAAATTTTACTTTTATTTTATTTTATTAAATAATTAAAAATAAGATTGGCTGTTGTTAAATCAGGTTTTTTCTTTATTATTCTTTTATTGAACTTCCATATGCATAATTAATGAATAATTAATTAATACAGTAATTAATTAATGATTTAATACATAGTATTAAATCATTAATTATGATTAGAAATGACTAAAGCACACAGTAATTCTAAATATAATACAAAATAATGCTCATAAGCAAAGCTAGAACATGACGGACAATCAGCCTATGATGCAGTGTTTTATATAGCAAGAGTATAGTTGATATGTAAGACTGTGAAAATTTTGAGAATTTCAGCACATGAGACAGATCAGCTATGTTGTACTTTAATGTGAAATATTTAGTATATTGGTAGAGTTATGTGCTGAGCATATCAGCTAGCTTTAATTCATTTTTTTATTTTTCATACATGTCCCTTCTAGTTGCTCACCTGAGGCAAGTGTTCACCTCAACCTTGTCCCAGCCCTAGTAAATTCTTTTCAATTATTATAAAGCTACGATAATATATTTTCATAATAAAGAAGTATTTAACAAGTTAAGTATTAAGTATTAAACAATACTGCGTTTGTTTAAATGAAGCATGTATGTTCAAAGGTAAATACATCTGTGAGTGAAGTTGTCTAATAGTTAGAGCCATGAATTGTATATTAAGAATTTTATTATACTGTTTTAAGATAAGAAATTAACTTACCATCTAAATAAAGATGCTCCTGAATTATATTTTGCAAAACAGTGTTTTTCTTATCTTGAACATGGCGTTTAAGAAAATTATAAGTGTCCCTTGACATACGCACTGTAAACTGACCTGATCTAAAGAAAAAAGATATTTTCAAAATAAAGATAAAATGAAATTCATTGAAAATTAGAAATCAAACTTTAAGTTCAAGAAATGTAATAATTACATAATTTTTCAACATTAAAAATTTTCTACATTTAAAACAATTAAATCAATATTTTATAATAATTTTTCCCTTATTCATGCCAATTAAGCCATTTTAATTTTTTTGTTTTTATTCTTCCATATGTTATTTTTAATGTAGTTTGTAATTATTCTTCTCCCAAAAAACGTTGATCTTTAATTTCAACTGCTTTAATCCAGTTTGAATTTCTCTTAAAAAATTTTAATAAATATTCAGACAATTATAAATGTTATTTATTACTGAATGCCTTTATAGATTTAATAATAAAAATACAGTAGATCCCCCTATAAAACCGTTTCCTATAGTTATGATTCCTATAAAAATTGTGGCATTATCCGTAAACAACGGTAAAAATAACTCCTATAATACGTAAAACGTCATCGGGCAGCCGAACTACTTACCCGCCGTCCGTAGCGCCACGCTACGGAGAGATTTCTATCGTCTGGACAGTATTATATAAATTATATATAAATTAGGTACTGTACATATAATTATATATTAATTATATATAAATTAGGTACTGTATATATAATTATATATTAACTTAATTTATTGTAACTTTATTATAATTAAATATATATTTTTCGCCGTCTAGCGTCACGCTACGGCGAGTTAGGCGACCTATCGTCTGTTTAGTACTGTAATTTTATACATTTCTTGTGAAAGAAACATTTCTTATTTAACGGCCATAAAAATTATTTATATTAATGATGTCTCCAAAGGTCAACGAAGTTTTCGCAGAAAAATAATATCAGAAATCG